AGGAAGGAAGGAAGGAAGGAAGGAAGGAAGGAAAGAAAGAAAGAAAGTCCAGCAGTCAGGGCTATCCAGAGGTGCAGTCAAAAAAGTCAAGATGGCTACCACCCCTATCAGCCTCATTGTTGTACTCCAAAGCTCGGTTCTACTTTCAACACAGGTTCAAACCTCTCAGCCAAATCCAAATTTCTTTCCCCCATCTGCTCACAAGTTGTAATGCAAAGGGTGTGCCCTGTGCTACTTCCTACAATCCTGATGAGTGGGTCCCAGCTGTCTTCTCCTCCTGACCAAGCCCCCGCCCCCCCTCCCCCTTCTTTGTCCTCCCCCCCCCCCCCACCCTTCTCCCCCGCCTCCATTTCATACCATCCAACCCATATGGTGTTTCCATCTGTTTGCAAACTTCAAACCCGCTTCCACCCCAGTGACAGATCTGGCCTGGAGTCCTTTACTAAACTTGTAATTCTTGCCTTACTTTTTTGAGTCAAATCCAGATTTAAGACAGATTTAGCCACCCTGGATTAAAAAGTCAGTGGCCACCAAGGTCAAAATCTACAAGATGGTGGACACTGCATGGTGAATGGACGTTTGCAACGCTGGGTCCGCCATCTTGCAGATTTTGACAGCCCATTGCAATAGGGAGTGGTACTTTTTCCTAATCTATCTTAACCACGTTATTCATTTACAGACTACATGGATTCCCTTAACAATCCTGGCAAAAAAAGGGCGTAAAAATCAGTTGTTCTTGACCTCTGATAATTTTTTGGCAAATAAATAATGGTGAGAGTTAGGAATTCAGTACAAATAGTCCTCGTCTTGCAACCACAATGGAGTCCAAAATTTCTGTTGCTAGCAAGACATTTGTTAAATGAATTTTGTCCCATTTTATGACCTTCCTTGCCACGCTTGTTAAATGAATCACTGCAGTTGTTAAGTGAGTGACATGCTTGTGAATCTGGCTTCCCCCATTGACTTTGCTTGTCAGAAGGTCACAAAAGGGATCACATGTCCACGGGACACTGCGACTATCATAAATATGAGAGTCGCCAAGCCTCTGAATTTGGATCACTTGATTGTGGGGATGCCAACCATCATAAGTGTCACAAGTCCCTTTTTTCAGTGCCGTTGTAATTTTGAACGGTCACTAAACAAACTGTTGTAAGTCGAGGACTACCTGCACAGGTCGTTCTCAACTTACAACCACTAGTTTAGTGACAATCTGAAGTTACAATAGCCTCCCACTTACAACAGTTACAGCGCCCCAGGGTCACAAGATCACCATTTGCAAACGTTCCCTGGTGGCTTCCGACAAGCAGAGCCAATGGGGATAGTCAGATTCACTTAACAACCACATGATTTGCTTAGTGACTGTAGTGATTCACTTAACAACCAGGGCAAAAGAACATCG